AGGAGATCGGGCTGAAACTATAGCTACAAGCTATCCAAGGATGGTACTATAGAATGTCACCTCAAGGTAGGCCTAGTGGCGTCATCTCTTGGTTAGGCCGGAAACTTATCAATCCACCCTCGTATCTTGTAGTTTTCAGTTTTACACAGTTGGCATATATCAATTCGATATTGTTTTGCAAGCTATTTTGTCGTAATTCATAGAAATTCGTAGTTTCTTGCTAAAGGTACGATAAGTGGTGATTCGGCAGGTGCTGATATCAATTTGGAACTTCAAAATTCCATGGACCATGACATTGAACCCGAAAAACAAAATCGACCCAATATTTTAGATTATTCATTTCCAAGGAGTCCAGATTTTTTGGGCTCTCTTCAGTTAAAGAATTGGATGGCATTCATGGAATGTCTCTTTGTCCCCTTTTTAAGCTTCTAGTACCTTCAATGGCCAATGTGAGCAATTTTCATTCATCATTCTATGTAATGCTTGATTGGTGATACTTGCAAAACTTTTAACCACAAAAATTCATTTAGCATTTTACAAGTAGAAAATACGTTTCGAAAGGTATTTTAAAGAAAAATAAAAATAGGTATTTTTTATTTTGTATTTTAAATAAATCACATCTCTGAACACAAGCAGACTGTGTACAACAGAAAATCAGAAAGAAATGGTATTATATCTATTTACTACTTCTTTCTGTATGCATGGTTTAAAGTGACACAGAAAGTTGTTTACTAAAATTTTCCCAAGCAGAGCTGTATTTCTTGTCCTTAATTTACGCAGACGATACCAACTTTGTATATCTAGTGGATTAAAAATATCACATCCATTAGACGTGACTCATGTTACATTTTCCTTCCTTTGACTGATATTCCTAACTTTGCAATTTGGGTTATGTTACGTTTTTAAAACACTGAATGATTTTATAAAACAAGGAAAAACGACTGCTTTATAGCAGGTGTATCTATATATTAATTTATACACTAATAAAGTTAATTTCCAATAATAAGTTGTGCAAATTATACATATATTTTTAAGTGAAATAATTGCACAGTTAACGTTTTCCTGTTCCTATTAATGAGTTAGGTTAATGGCAATAATTACAAACTACGGTAGGGTATAGATAGGGTTGGACTAGCCATAAGGAAGTTCGGAAATTTTCCCGGCGCGTTGCTGCCTTATTTTTGAAAAAAGACGCCGGTTAGAGTACGATTAGTTATTTGGCTATAAATCACCATTAAACTATTGAAAAAATAAAATTTAATTCAAGTAATTTAAGTAAAACAATTTTCCTTTCATTATTTTTGCGAACTTTTTAACGTAATTTCTTCATCTATAGTAATTGCATATACAATAATAATATAATATACATATACAGAGTGTTTCTGAAATAAATGGCAGTCTTTGGATGGTGTTAACTAGATGTAATAGAGAATCGCACGGTGAGTAAAGAAGCATGATTAAGGGACAAAAAAATGTGTAAGAAAAAAAGGCCAAATAGCAATCTCAAGCCGGCCTGGACTTGAATTGGCAATACAGGTTAGGTATTAGTATACATATACAGAGTGTTTCTGAAATAAATGGCAGTCTTTGGATGGTGTTAACTAGATGTAATAGAGAATCGCACGGTGAGTAAAGAAGCATGATTAAGGGACAAAAAAATGTGTAAGAAAAAAAGGCCAAATAGCAATCTCAAGCCGGCCTGGACTTGAATTGGCAATACAGGTTAGGTATTAGTACAGATTTGCAATAACAACTAAGTAGCAACATCGATGGAGATTGTAAACATACACCAAGTACTGGTTGTTCAACGGCTAATAGTAAAAATATCAACAGCTTCCTACCACGCTAATGGGCGCCCATTGTGATAAAAATTAATTAAATAGCAGCTTTGTTCATTGCTGATAATTTGCAGCATTATTTAAAGCAGAGCCGGGCAAACTTTAACTTCGCAGGAGCCGCTACATGAGGTTAGTTTGAGTCNTCGCTCGTCTACGGGATGAAGGGGCTTGATATGGGAGTGGAAGGGAGAAGAAAAAGACAAAACAAAATTATTCATTACTGCATACTCTCTCGTACTCATTGAAGGGTATGGAGTGACTCAAACTAACCTCATGTAGCGGCTCCTACGAAATTAAAGTTTGCCCGGCTCTGATTTAAAGTACACCTCAACATGCTATTAAAAACACCAAAGAAAAATAAAATTAACGTTACGTAAACATCAATCGGTTAATTAATACTCTACGTCTCTACGAATAGGTAATTGTAATCGTATTAACTGTAAGGAAATTTTATACAGCACCTGTGAGGTTGTTATTGTTGACCTATGACAATGACTGGTTGATCTAGGCAGGGCCGGACTGGCCTTTCCCTGTACTTTCACACTTTTCTCGAAAACGGCAAATTTTCTGACCAACAAACATTCACTTAATTATCTTGTTTTATAGTGTCCTACCACCGGTAAAGGTCTAGATCGAAAGAGGAGGTCTCCCCCACCACTGTACCATGAAAAGTTCGTGATGGTCTCATCCCCATAAAAAGTTATAGGGGTTCAAAGTTAATAAATATTCCAATTTTTATACATTTCTAGGCATGTAAATATTTATATAGTCATTCTTAAACAATATTCAAAGGTAAAACTAATGAAAAATACATTGAGAAAGTTATATAAAACATTATTTAAATATCTTTATCAATAGGGTAGGTTAGGTTAGGTTATCGGGTTTTGTTCAAGTGACCACCCTCTTTCGATCCCCCACCTCCACCCGCTTGAAAATAATTGTTTTATTGAATTTTATTTGAATTATAGTGTATGAAAATTGTCAAAATAATCAACTTTTAACTTTTTATGGTACAGTGGTAGGGGAGACCTCCTCTTTCGACCTCACCCATCCCCAACCCATTCGGGTTCATCTAGACATTTACCCTACCACCTCTTGCAAGCTTGCTATTTATTCAGAAACAGCCTATGCAATAGTATTAAATTAACTCTTATATAAATACAATCAGTTTTGAAAGGGGTGGTGAACATTAATATCCAATATTAATGGCGCCGATTTTGTTTTAAATTAAAGATCAAAAAATTTCGCTCAATCCAACCCTGTCCATAGGGGTATTCGTGCACGTGAAACAAGGTTTGTAACGCTCTCTTCCAGAGGGAGATGGCGTAAACGTGGCAACTCTCAATAACACCATAAAATGCGCGTTCCCTTTAGTGTCGCTATAAAGAGTTTATACTGTACTTTAATTGTAAAGGGTTAACAGACATACCTTTTCGAATCTGATTTGATACAATTTAAATTTGCTTACCGTTTAATATGTGCACGTATGTGCTTGCTGGTTGTGCGTTACTGGGAACGCAGGAGTAATTTCCGGAATGTCTGGTAGCAGCACTGTTTATCGTCAGAAGACTTGTTTTCGTTGGCAGTTCCGTTGTCACATTGATTCCCTTATCTGCGTCGTAATTGATCATGCGGTTGTTGTGATACCAGAAGACAAAGAGTGGCGGTTCCGTACTCTGTGATATGGTGCATTGCAGCCGCAAGCCCGAACCTGGCTTTAAATACTTTTCGGTAGGCCCAGAAATCTCCGCCTTCGCCTCTGAAACGATTTATAAAGTGAACCTTCGTTAAAATTCTAATGCTTAGGTGTACGTCACAGTTCATGACTTCCCTTCACAAATCACGAAACGTTACGAATACTGAATCGAAAAATTTGTAAGTAATTTTTTTCTGATGACCTACAGAGAATAAGAAACTGCAGCGCAACTATTTATTAAGTACTAAACTAATTTTTATGTGAGCAAGGGTACTTCTTGAAGTGAAACTTCTTTATCAACGGTAGCAAGGAAATCTACTGGGGTATAAAACCTAAAATGTAACGCTTGAATGAATCATAGCATCACGCACCATGCGTCATGCACCACATGTGACCCCTGGTGGATACGTCCTAAAGGAGTAATTTTTACAGGCTTCAGAAGCTAGCCTATTAATAGCAACCGATAACGCTGTACGATATATGTATGAGTCCTGTTCAAATAATATTTTTAGTTTTGTGTTTTTTCAAAAAATACTTATTTATTTATGAATTTCTAATTTGTTCCCTTTAAAGTAATCCCCACCACATATTTTACACTTGTGCCAACGTTTTTTCCAATCCTTGAAGTATTTCAAAAAATCATTTTTTGTGATCTTGTCCAGCTCCTCCTTTGATGTCGTCTTTATCTCCTCAATCGTAGTGTAGCGTCGTTCATGGATTTCTTCAGTTTTGGGGTATAAGAAAAAGTCAGAGGGGGCCAGATTTGAGGAATACGGTGGTTGCAGCATTGTTAGTGTGTCGTTTTTGGTCAAAAATTCTTGCACAAACAACGATGTGTCAGTAAAGGAGTTATCATGATGCAAAAGCCAATTTTGTTTTTAATTTTAATATCCCTATTGCCCGTTCTACCCTGAGGCAAGAACTCATGATGTACCACGCCTCATGACCCTCTACAACTGCACCAGCTCCTAACAGTAATGTTAATGCGGTGCTGTTTTTGGTCGAAATTGATCAATTTTGGTACGAACTTCGCGGCGATCCGTCTCATGCCCGAATCATTGCCAAGAGCCAATCAATATGTTTACCCCTCAACAACTTCTTTAAGGTGATTCGAAGATTGGCCAATACCATTTTCTTCATTTCATCAATGGTTTCGTCTGTTGTTGACGTGCTCGGGCGTCCGGCACGCTCTTCGTCGTTCACATCTTCTCGACCCTCTGAGAACATTTTGTACCACCGATAAACGTTGCTTCGGTCCAAGGTAGCTTCACTATATGCCACAGTCAACATTCGGAATGGGTCTGCGCACTTAATTATGTTTTTCACACAAAATTTGATATATCCTTTGATCCATTTTTTGGAATAGGAAAAAATCGAAGACGAGCCAAAACACGTGCAAGAAAAGCAGCTTTCAAAAATTAACTCAACTTTCAACATGGCCGAACTTGTCGGTATAAATGAGAGACGTGAGTACCAACATAACGCCACAAAAAAATCGGAAATCGAATATACGTTATCCGCGGAAATTCAAAATTCGGGATACTTTTTATCCGTTTATGTTTGTTTTGATTTTACGTCAATTTTTTTTAATACTACTTTAATATAGAATCTAAAGAAGTTTCACTTCTTACGGGTGTACACTAATACACACTCGCTTTTTTTTTAATTTAAAGAACTGCGACAATATGGAGTAAATCATTAAAAACCAATAAGTCTGGTGAAATTTTTGTGCAAATTGCGACGAAAAATAAACATCATGGAAGCGGCTGAACAGGCTTCATTTAAACAAACTTGAGATCAACTTCCAGGTATCAACTGATGCTGTGCTAATTCGGGTCCAAAGGTCGTCGTCGGTTGGAGCTTCCTAACGTTTCGCTAGCACGAGTGACGAGCTTCTTCAGAGGTACTTCCATCTCCGATGCTGAAGCAACTCAATCGACGACGACCTTTAAACCCTAATCAGGACAGTCTCACTTCACTTACTAGCCGTGAAAGCCTTTAGCAATTTGCAGGCTTGAGTCTTTAAAGTGGGGATTGCATAGAAGATAGAACTGCCTACGAAGCTACAGATATTTAAATAGATAAATAATAATCAGTCAAAGAAATAATAGAGGTTAACATAATCAACAATATAATTGCTACTTATTGCTACTTAGGAAACTACAGAATATATAAAAAATTTCCATATATCTAGAGCACTAAAGTAATGACATTATATTTCTCAATTTATTGGTTTACAATATTAGTTCTTATTTATCACTTTGAAACCAATAGGCCGTAGGAGGGAATTTAATCGAATAATTTTGGAAAACACACTCAAACAAGTGTAACTTCTACCTGACCTAATTTTTTACTCTCCTTTCTCAAGTAATTTTCCAGGCTATTTAATTGCAAAAAATAATGACAATCACTTTTCTGAAAACAATAGAAAGAAAATAGGAAAAGTAATTAATTATATAAGGAGGTAGTTGTATATCAGGCCTGATTGATTTCTACATTATTTCTTTACAGATATCGGCAACATCCATGATTATATTTGGTGTAGGACGTAGGGCTTAGGTGCGAAAATTCAATAGGAATAAAATCACTTGTCTACAATGCGTAAAAATATTTCCACTTTTTTATGCTTGTTAATCTTATAATTTAAAATTTTTATAATGTATATGGCCAGTTAATGAAATGGTATTATGCATACTTTCGTATTTGTTCGGTAAAATATTTCTAAAATGGGTACATATTTTTGTATTTCCAAAATACGTAAGAAATTCGATCATGTTGAGATATATAAAATAGTATCATAGGATAACTGTTGTAATTGTAAATTTGGAATCAGTGTCTCTGATCTCTGATTCGAGTTTATATCATAATCTTTTTAGTCAATATACAACCCCATTTTTAATCAAAACTTGTCATATCAACCTTCTTAACTCAGAAAACCGAACATGTCCAAATTTAACTTCCAATTTGTAAAAAAACAAGGTGCATGAAATTTTTGAGGTCAAAGTATCAAAACAAAAAAAAAACACCAGAAGGTAGGTAGTCATGCTTTAGGTTGGGACACTAGCTAATAATAACACGTTAATGGATTTTTCACGATTTTTGTAAAATTTGTTTTAGTGGACTTAGGGGTTTTGCATTTATATCCACGTATATTTGTACTCACATATGAATGGTACTTATTCTATTAATGCCTAGTACAATAAAACAAGTATTGAAGTCAAAACATCAATTTACATATGAACGTTCCTATTTGTCTTTATAATGTAACTAGTGACTTACCTACGACAATCAGCTGAATAAATATACTTGTTGGAGGATGCGATGAAACTTGACATTCATATAATCCAGCGTCCCGTGTTTGCACATATTTTATTTGCAGCGTCCAGTCCTGTGAACAAATAGAAACTCAATTATTATTCACTTAAACACGGTAAAAATTGTATTACGTCAACTAAACTCAGCCATTATAAACTTAACTGTGCAGATTTGATTTACAATAACAACATAAAGAACATAACATTTCTCAGAAGAGCTGGTAGGTATTTTTGAAAGTACAGACAACGGCCAGTCCGGTTCTGGTAGAATTATGTAGGGAAACGCGACATTGCAACGCCACATTTAATCAGCTGCAACACCCGTTGGTATTCTGTATTTTTGTACTCATGTATTGCTTATTATTATTTGTTAGATTAACATAAGTGTAATTGGTGATTTTTATGTTTATAGCTGGCCTAGAGTCCTTTTTAATCTTGTATTACGTATATGTAAGTATATAGTCAAAGTCATTACAAGTAGGTCAATGTAGCAGTGTCATAGGTCAGTGCAGAATAGTATTATGTGTGAGTTTTATAACATTCGTAGACTGTTATCTATTTTGTCTTTCACATTTATTAATTTATTGATTAAATTTGTTGATTGTTTTATAAATTTATTATTGTTTAATAGTTAAATAAACCTTTCAGATCGCAATAAATGTAGGTAACGTAGCTCTCAACAATTCATAAATATAACAATAATAGATATGTATGTGTTTGCAATTAAATACTGTATTAAATGAACAATTAAAATAATTTGAAAGAGATGAATAAATAAACCTAGTAAACGAAAACTATCCAATTAAGAAGATTGTAAATAATTACCAAGTTGACCCAAAGAATACAGCTGACTATGACATCTCATGCGATATATTCACGAATCGCCTTTATGTGATTATCCATTTCAGCATTGTGGAGATTGAATTTTCCATTATAATGTAATTTAGTTATTCTGTACTAACAAATAATAGATATAAACAATAAGGTTCATAATTACATACATCGCAGCCACAACTAAACTTTTTAAAGAGGAATGTTGATAAGTGTATCTGAATATCCGATATGTAGGTCTATCACGATTTATACACATTATGGACCAGCTTTATCTGGCATCAGAAGCTCACTTTTGTTGCTACAATGGCAATTTGGGGAAATATATTGCGCAATTAGAATAAATCATAGCCTTTAAGTAGTTGGCTCCGCTTCGAAGCAAAAAGCCGGAGGGCATTGTGTTCATTCTCATTTACACATTTTTATTTTGGTATACGCCGCCAATAAGGCCCTAAATGGGACAGATTTATCCCGTAGACGTGGCATTTCGAAGATGAATACATGTCTAAAAGGTTTTTCCTCGGTTCCTATTTTTTTTTGGTCTAATACAATTAAAAGCACCAAACGCTCACATAGAATTGTTAGTTTACTTTCTAGTTAATACGTAGAATACGTAGAATATGCATATCAACAAGCTTTCTCCATATTTTTAAAACGTTTATGTTTGTTTTGATTTTACGTCAATTTTTTTTAATACTACTTTAATATAGAATCTAAAGAAGTTTCACTTCTTACGGGTGTACACTAATACACACTCGCTTTTTTTTTAATTTAAAGAACTGCGACAATATGGAGTAAATCATTAAAAACCAATAAGTCTGGTGAAATTTTTGTGCAAATTGCGACGAAAAATAAACATCATGGAAGCGGCTGAACAGGCTTCATTTAAACAAACTTGAGATCAACTTCCAGGTATCAACTGATGCTGTGCTAATTCGGGTCCAAAGGTCGTCGTCGGTTGGAGCTTCCTAACGTTTCGCTAGCACGAGTGACGAGCTTCTTCAGAGGTACTTCCATCTCCGATGCTGAAGCAACTCAATCGACGACGACCTTTAAACCCTAATCAGGACAGTCTCACTTCACTTACTAGCCGTGAAAGCCTTTAGCAATTTGCAGGCTTGAGTCTTTAAAGTGGGGATTGCATAGAAGATAGAACTGCCTACGAAGCTACAGATATTTAAATAGATAAATAATAATCAGTCAAAGAAATAATAGAGGTTAACATAATCAACAATATAATTGCTACTTATNACAAGCTATATCTTGGTATTCTACCTAATTTATCACTAAAAATATTGTTTAAAAAGTTTTCATGTCCCATTTTATTATTTTTCTACTAATCCTTTACTTTGTTTAAAATTCTTGGAACGCTAATCCCTTGAATGGAAATGAAATTTCCTTAGAGTAGAAATATAAGATTTATCTTTAATAACACTTCAGAGAATAGAATTATCTTAAGGAATAACTTAATTTTTTTTGTTATAAAATGAATCGTCGCTAAATCGTGTGACATCTAAATCACAAAAAAAGCAAAAGCGAATATCTTAGGTATAATAAAAACACGGTTGACGTGTCACTAAATCAACTACATAGGTTCTAAATAAAAAATTGAACAAAACTGCTCTTTAAATCTGTCTTTCCATGTAAATTACAGTTTTACATAGTTGTTTAAATCAAACTTTTGGCATTATTAAATCCAAGGAGATTCATTTCCATTTACACCAAACAGTTTAACTACGCATTTCGCTCATATGAGAAGTTATTGGTTTTCATCAAGAGGTAAATTATGTATCAATATAATAAATGGCAGTAAGCTGAGATCTCTAAGTATTTGTTAGAACTCCTAACTTTTGCAAAGGCCCCACAAAGATTATGTGCAGTTTTTCCTTAATTTGAACCTCCTAAATGCATACAGTTATGTTAAGGTTAGAATGTAGATAGAATATTGTATATAGTCCACCTCTAATAACCTTTACAATTTGGAGATCTCGATCTCAGTCAATATAAGTACTTCGTTCGTTTTGTCTCTCCTACTGTAATCTTATGATTCTAACCTAACCTCATCATTGCTGTTTTTTATTATATCATATTGAATGCCGCAATCAAAAGTTGGGTAATAACACTCCCTTTTATAAACTCCAGGCATTGATTATCGTTGTGGCTGATTTCTTCGAAAGAAAATAAATAGAAATTCGTTGGGTGCTGCCATGCATACGTAGATTACATAAACAACCACCTACCACCAGCATGCTATCGCCAAGGTCGGCACATGCGCATATGAGCATAAAAACCAAACATCATTGTGAACCTCACAGTTTCAGAAAAAGACTTGTATAGTTGGGACATTCAAAATTGGCAAAGTCCAAAATAAAACTCTCACATTTACTTTCTTCTTTCAACTTACTAACTAGACCAGAGCCGTTGCTCTCAGAACGCCTACTTTTACTCAAGACAAAGGTTGTAGGGAATATCGTAAACATAGAAAAGAGATGTCAGATAGGAATTGCAACGGACACTAATGAAGAAAAAGGCATAACATTACGCCAATTAATGTACAAGAGAAAGAGATACGGACAAGAGAAATTTGAGCATGTTGAATGAGCATGACTTAGTTATAAAGCTGACTCTGATCTCTTACGTACTTAAATAACCCCTTACCGTTACACCGTTTACTATTATTCGGTTATCTCCTTTCACTTTGTATGTACTGCTCTTGAAGCATTTCCTAATTTAACAAGGGCGTCTTCAAAACGCAATAAAGGATAGTCCCAAATGGAAACAAGAAAGAAGATACGTCCATTCTCACAGATAACGTATTGCGGACTTTGCCAATTTTGATCGTCCCAACTATATTTTTTTCATAAGTTGGGTAATACTCCTTGCATTAAGCTTAGGGATTGTATATTACATGAGTAAAAATGTTTTAAACCAAAAGGAAATGTACATTACATTTATTAAAATGTTATCGATAATATAAAGTGTTTAATATAAAGTGGAAATAGTGCTGGTACGCGAGCCGACACTGCATGTAATGAGAACTGAGCTTCTCTTTGCTATACTTTTACTATCTGTTGTGTCTTCAACTAATATTTGTAAATAGATATATTCGATTTTGTTTGTGTTTGTTTCTATGTAATGAAAGGTTGTAATTTATGTAAATATTCCATTTTGTTCGTGTTTCAATAAAGTCAACACTTTGTATTTTCTTCTAGTTGTACTCGATTTTAATATATCTATTTATTTGTTAAATATTCTTTTCTTAGTATAGCTAATATAATAACTTTAACCAGGAGATCGGACCAGGTAGGTTTCAAACTATCATTAATAAATGGAAAACCCAAGTCCGTAGTTACGTCATCACTTCCGAATGTACAGAGAATACCTGAGGGGTGCGTAACGACGGCGAAGGGGTAATTTTGCATGATAGGCGTTGCCTATTTAATGCCGATGGTATTTAAACCGCGAAAAGACAAATACACAAAACGAGCCATCGAAAACGAAAACCCCATCACAACAAAAACCCTATCCCATAAACCCCGAAGGATCACAGGAAAACCCAAAAAACAAAATCCCCTTCACCCCTGCCAAACTGTTGGCAATCACTCTCGACCTTCCTGACGAATTCCTCGATTACCTAGAAAACCTACCCACACGTCTCAAATAACACACACACACACACTTGCACGCTCACACACTCACACACACACACCCACACACCCACACATCCACACACCCACACACCCACACACCCACACACACACACACACACCTATACAGGTCCACGTATTTTTGTGGCATCCCAACCTACACACCCAACTGTGGCACTTTTGTTGTCGGCCCCTGTACGCATACTACTAAAAATTACGAATTTAATGTGCTAGGCGGCGCTCGTTTACTCACCGTATTTTCGGAGAAAAAATTACCAGCATGAGACGAGATTGTGGCGTCCGTCGCCACAACAAATGCATTTATCCATAAGTGTGTTTAGGGTGCCACAAGAGATGTATTTGCACTGTGTGTTATGGATGCCGCAGTAAATGCATTTATCTAAAACTGTGTTTAGGGTGCCACAAGA